GTTACTCTTCAATGGCTTACATCAAGGCTCTGAGGCGTCCTCAGACGTTCCCTCAGGCCGTGGGCTCGTTGCCGCAGTTTCCTCCCAAATCCGTCATCTGTAAGTGCAGAATCGAAGAATCCAATACTCGGTTGCAGTGCATCCCCCGCCCCCCCTCGTATTGTAGACACTGTACACCCTGCTCCCCACTCGCCACGCTCCCCAAGGCTGTACATGGAGATTGTACTTTTGTCTATACGGTCCAAAGTGCTGACTCGGTTGTGCCGCACCACTCAGCTCGGTTCCGGCCCAGGTTTCTAGAAAAGCGCAGGCAAGGTCTTGCCTTCTTCCTCAAGTAAGTCTGTCGCCCATGGGTTTCCCGAAGCCGTCTTGGGCCCAACGTCGGCTATCGATAAGGATGCGGCGCTAGTGGAGAGGGAGCCTGCAAGCTGCAAGTGTTTCTGAACCGACGACTGACGGGCTCTTCTATTTTTAGCTGCGTCTTGCTCAACCCGGAGTTTGCTGGATCGCCCGTGTTGAAGGAGTTTTTGTTCTCGTGATGGGATCGGTTGCAGTGGCCACGATTCAATATAGAGTAATGCACAAGTGGGAGTACGACGGAGCTTGGATAGTGTTGGGTGTGGTGTGGGGGTGTCAGGTGGCGGGACAGAGGTCTCTCGGGTGATATTCTTCCATTGTACGGTACCATGAATATACAAACCCTACTAGAGTTGAACAACTACTGTGCCTACTGCGCCTACTCTACGGTGCCTACACTCCTGTTCATCCAAGTGGTTCGTGTCAGCAATGATCTCTCAAGGGCCCGCCAGTGGGACAATGGTGGTTGTGCATTTTCCCACATTCAAGGCCGCTGATTGGCTGACAATTGGCTGTGGCGTCGACCTTGTCCCTCGCTTTTTCGCCGTTGGCTGACATTCGATTCGCTGCCTCTCGTCCAGAAATTGGTTGCTGGACCGTCTGAAGACCAGCAAGGCTCCATGGCTCGATTGTGAAGCTTAATCCAACCTCGCGACTCGTGTTTGCAAATCTGGTTGCCGTGGGTAGGGTAGCGTGTCCTGTACCAAGAGCCTCCTACTCTCTGGTACAGAAGCTCGCCGGCCCAGACAGCGCGAACGAGCGTTGAGTTGCTGCGCGAGTTGACGGACCCCCTCGCCCCCCCCCCCCCCCCCCCTTTAACCCAACAGCCCTCTCTCGCTCAACTCTGCCATTCGCGTTTCGCCTTTGAGCCCGCTCCCATGCCCAAGGAAAGCCCAGCGCGACAAGACGATTTGCCCAGAGGCAGCTGAAGCAGAAACAGAGCACCAAGACGGTGAACTGAGAACAGAGAGGCAAGGAGAGAGAAGATGAGCTGAAGAGACGCGCTGCTCTGGCCCTGCTCACTGACTGACACCATGGCCAACGTTGCGCGGCCGCCGCTGCGCCAGACACGACTCACCTTTTCCCCCGTTGTCGCGCCCAATGACGACGCCCACCACCACAGCCCCAACACCAACAACAACACCACCACCAGCGCCAACACTCGCAATAGCCAGCTCCCCCAAAAGACGGCCCTTTCCCCCCGTCGTTCCTCGCGCACCAGCCCGTTGCTTGCCCTCGCCAGCGATGCAAAGCCCGTCCAGCAGCTGGTCTACACGGCTGCCACAGCTGCTGCACCGCCGCCCACTCGCACGCCCACATGCACATCCACGCCTGCGCCTGCGCCTGCGCCTGCCCACACCACCACCAACCCCAGGAAGCGGCCAGCGACGGCGCTGAGCAGCCCTGAGCCCACCACCGATACCAGACCTCCGCCCACCAAAGTCACCGTCACACAACCACAATCCCATGGCGACCTTATGCGCATTCCCAATGGTCTTGGCGGTGCTGCGCCCCCGGTCGGCATAGGCGCCCGCCAAGGTCCCCCGACGACGACGACGACGACGACGACATCGCAGGACAAGAGGAGCCTGAGGAGCCACGATGGCGGCTCGCGGCTGAAGAGTGACCTCCCCACCTACTTTGCCAATTATGACGAGGTCATTGCAGGCCTGCCTCAGTCGTCGGGTAGGTTCACGCCTTGTCCATTGCGGTCATACCAGACCAGCTGCTAATCCTGGCATGTATATCCTCATATAGACCTCCTCGACCTCGACACCCGCATACTCATCGTCGACGAGCCTATCAAACCCAGAATTTTATAGGAAAGTTCAGACGCATCCGCCTCTGTGCCA